CAGGTAAGTGAGAGTGAGTGAATGACTTTTCTTATATTCATGCCTAAAATCTTGCATCTCTACCATGCATGGACAACCATATTTGACAACAACAAACCATCTAATCCCTCTTCCTTTTATGTAAAATATGGTATAGATTTAGAATCTTCAACTACATAGTTGATACAATATGTGAATTAATGAAAAATAACATCAATTTACTATTTGAAGTACTTGATACAGGTTTTAGGCTTCATTTAAAGATTGAGATTTATTTTTCCTAAGATGGTGTTTATTCTAGGTTTCACAACCCAGCCCACCCTCAGGTCATTCACCTAGGTCATGGCATTATGGCAACTTAAGCCTTTTTGGGAATTTTCAGTGTCAATGTTCTCTTTCTATCTAAATAGGTTGTTTAAAAGTCTCATGGATAAATCTTTCTATCTATTATAAATGTGAAAGAGGGTTTGGTACCCTCTAGAATCATGCACTTTTTACGTTAAACAAAGTAGTTCCTCACGCTATCAGAATGGTACCTTCACCTTTTTGGTCAATTTTGCCCTCATTGTCGTTATTCTTTGTTTCCCTAACATATACTTTGTCGCCCTTTTTCACCCGTAACGCCTGTACTTATTTCATAGAGGGGAATGCAATACTCTGTTGAATCCAACATTAATCCCTCGTCTTCATGCCCAACAACCTCCCTCCATTGTAGATGAGTCACACAGCTCCCCACCCCACTCTATTCTCCGTTGTACCATTAGCTCATGATTAGAGTTGGTAATTTTGCAGGAGATTTGGGGAATAAGTTTATGTGTGTAGGTAAACAAATCAGTATGAGTTGCAATATCGTTTTTATTCCAATGGAATCATTGAGGCCTCCCTCAAGTCATGACCAGCCAATCAAAGCACATTGGTGCTATTGCCGTCAAATGTTGAATGACCGCCCTATGGAACATGTGGGGCGCCCAAGTTCTCCTTCTTTTAGTTCTGATCTACGCTTATTGTTTAAAAAACTGCATTCTTTTGATGATTAACATGTTTTTTGTTCCTTAAGTGCTTCTAAGCCTAAAATATGAACTCTTGTTGGATTATTATTTAATAGTTTAACTCTTAATGTACTACTGTACCTAATAAAAATAATTATTCATCTTTTGAAAGATGGAAGAGGTGGAAACCCCAACCAATAGCAAGCTAGCTAGATATAAATTTTTGGTGTAATCACTTGATTTACTTTTATAACTATTTTTTATTTATGGATTATGAAGGCTTAAAGTAAATAATAAAAAAACCTTTTCCATCCATAAAAGTTGTACTTTGTGCATTGGAGCTGGTACACCGTTAAATATTTCCATTCTTGGCATTACGTCGTTGCTCGCCATCCAATCTTGCGCCAGAACTGATTCTCCTCCTTATGAATTAATACCCCCTTAAATGCGTACTCATGTAAAGCCTTTAATTTAGTTTCTTTTTGATAATAACGTATGCACAGTTTCATGTGTGTATTGGAATTGGAGAGATTTCACCCTCTCTCCGTCGGGATGGATTTCAGGTGATTCTCCAAAATTTGTGAAGTCATAAATTATTCTTCCGTTCAATATTGTTGCGATCTGCAATGGATGTGGTTATTATATCGGATGTCTTCCTCCTTGCCGCAGCTCCTCGTCCGAGATTGGCATACTGTGAAGCTGAGATTGCAGATTTCACGGCATGTATCTTGCAATTCTCTAACTGTTTCAGTTTTAAGAAGGTAATAGGAATGTAATTTTAGTATTTAATTAGAAATTTTGAATCCTCCATTTTTCCCTTCCTCAATTCTAATATTTAGCCACGCCACCTATTTATAGGCCATGTACACAGTGGGTTGGTGCACTAAATTAGCACATCTGCTTGCAGGTGTTTGTGAAATGTTTGAATATCATTTTTCTGGCATTTTCCTGAATTTCATTAAGCTTTTCCATGCTGTAAATCCAGCATACTCACATATTATTAGGGTTTAGCAATCATGCTGCTGTGTTCTTCAGTAGTCATTTTTCCTTTAAATTGATTTTTAAGATATTGTGTTAAAAATTATTT